GGGAGGTGTGCTATCATCCAGGGGGCCATTTTGTGCCAATGGGAAAGGAGTTTGGTAATGTGGCTGTGGGATTTATGGTTAAGTGTTTGGATGAAAAGAAGCCAGTGGCGGAAGAGAGCGTCGAGGATATGGATGTTCCTTTCTAAGCTGGAGAAGAGCTTTAATTAATGGATTGAGTATACATAGGATCAATGGAATCACAGAGCTAGAATTAGATAGGTAGGCACGGGCAAGAGATTCATGTCATTAGAATCTAGAATAATTGTACAAAGAGGTAGGTATCATTAATGGTAGATTAGGAAGATCATTATGCATTGACCTTTCCAGTTTTTGAGCCCTTTGGTGACTTGTTTGGTTGGATTCTAGCCATCATTTCCTCCTTGGTGATCAAATGATCAATTCTTTCGAGCAATCCCAACAAACTCTTCATATTTCCACTCCATTCATTAAGGACATCATCCGCATCTCTTGGCTTAGCAAAGTTGACGATACGAGCAGGTCTGTCGATCTTGGCGAAAACAGTTTTGGCAGTGACCAACTCGCTGATGTATTTCTCCGTCTCGTCTTCCGTCAAATCGAGAAGTTGTGTCAATCGGGGCATTTGAATTCGAGTATAGTATTTGGCAACAACTCGAACGTTGTGTTCGATCACACGCTTGCGTAGATCCTCCCAACGCTTATTTGCTTTGGGGTCTGCAGATTGACCTTGTGAAACATCAAAAACATCGGTTCCACAGAGGTGTGGGCCAAATATCTTCGAAACCTCGGGCCATCTCATGAGTTCGGGAACTGTGAATAACTTGAGGAGTTGGGCATCGAGAGATACTTGGCTGTTGCGAGTATCTTTGTGGACGCGGTGGAGAAGATCGGATTGTTCGTTATCGTAAGGGGCTAAGATGACGTAGTAGATGATTCTTTGCAAAACCTGTGGTTGTTAGTTGTGTTCTGGAGAGAAGTGAAAGTTCAAAACTTACGGAATGAAGCTTTTGGGGATCCTCTTCAACAGCTTCTGTATCAAGGACCTGTCTATAATGCTTGCAGGCATCAAGGTATTTGTCATCATGCTTCGCCAAAGTGATTTGTTGCTCGTAGTATTTCAACTTAAGATCAGTCACATCGTCCTCCTTTGGCTCTGGAACATCCTCTCCCTTCTTTCTTCTCTTCTCTCGATCCTCTGCCTCCTTCACCAACTGCTCTGGAGTCTTCTTTGGCTTTCTTGACAGATATTTGGTACTGATCTTCCGGCTCAAGATTCCAGCTTGTGTCCAGTCGTTGTTCTCTATACATAATGCGACCTGTGCCAAAATGAATTCCGTCTTTTCTCTCCTCTCCATGGATCCAAATGTCTCTACTTGCAACTCGCACAAAATGTCCGTTGCTGATTTGAGATCACCCTGCTCCTTCTTGATATCGGAGAGGATTCTAGTAACGCGGGCACGCTCAACTTCGACGAAAATCTTTCCCTCCGTCACCGTACGCAATGTTTCAATTACTGTAAGCTTCGTCTCGAGGTTTGGTGTCGAATCCAGAAACTCCATAACAACCTGTACCATCTTTGTTGTAGCTTGTTTAAGTTGGCCATGTTTCTTTGATAGTAACAGGACTTGTTCGTTCAATAAACTCCAATCATTGGCATTCTTGCAAATAGTGACAATTCCAACAAGAATTCGGGATGTTGATGCAAGATCTGATGCCTGTTGGAAATGTTAATGGCTTGCGCCTATGTGTAAAGTGTCTCAGTCTGACCTGTCTTGTTTGTTTCTCCAACACTGTAAGCTTCTCGATGGCACCTTGCACGTTTGTCTAATGAAGTAAAATATGTCAGAAAATCTCGTAGACGGTTCCAATCACCAGAGAGCTATACCTGTGCAAGCTGTTCAGCTTCTGGAAGCTGTGTGTCAACCTCTTTGGAGAAGTCCTTATCAGGCTTACGAATAGTTTCGTCGGACATTATGGCAAAAGATAAATTGATTTAGTTTTGGGGTATCAAATCAAAGAACAATTACAAAAAAGACGGTAAAGCTGTTGTGGTGGTATGTAGGAGGAGTTGTTTGAGAGTTCTAGGTTGTCAACCTTGACGCGGCAACTATTGAGCTTAGCTTCGCACTTGATTAGTTCGGTCACCGGAATATGAGGGACCGCTCGACAGCCTCATCATGCTTACTAATCAACCTGACGCTGGGTGCCAAAACTGCATCGACAAAAAGCATCAATGCATTATTCACTGGGCGTTCAGAATTTCTTGCAGTAAATAAAGAGTTTCCATCACTGCTTGCACATATGTGCATAGATTGGGACTCTATAATATTCTGTGGGAAAATTGCCCACCCTTTTCAGATTTAGCGTTGAACTCGGAGTCTCTCAGACATACCAACAGTCTACACTTCCACTTGTCATCAAATGCCTCCATATTACATTGTCGAGTGACGATTATAGTCCCTTATCGAAATCCATTCAGGCCCTCGAGGTTCGATATCTCAACTTTTTGAGCAGATTGTCGAACTATGGTGTCAGATCATTTACTGTCTACCGTCTTTTGACGTGGAACGGAATCGACATTGGATCTCATCTTCAAACCTACTGCCTTGGCGCCGAAATTTGGTGAACACGATCATATGTCCATTTCAGCATAGTTGGTAATGTCAGGATTTTTATTGTTCCTTTAGGAAAACGCATGTTCGTTTGCTGTAACGACCTGAACCAATGATGTCAACACAGTCACAACTGATAGAGGAATCTGGTCAGAATTTTTTGTCCTCGCCATTTAGTATGTCTATTAGTACACGAGACCAAGCATGATAAGAAGACTATATTTTAGCGACGTTAATATGCTACCTATCGGTTGTGACAGGCAGAAATCTTGAGGGGGGAAACTCAATGTTTGACAGACTTGGAGTTCTAAGATCACATCTCGCTAATACCACCCTCATAGGAGGAATCGCCATTCTACTAGGCAGAAAATCATCGCTGTGTGGATATCTCGCAGACATTCAAATCACAGTATAAGCGTCAAACTCATTCCCCCCCCCCCCCCCCCCAAACCGGAAAATCTACCCCGGTATACTCAAGCGAATGAGCTGAACCCTACACTGGCTTTACGAAAACTTCCTGCATCTTCTTACCTTAAATTGTCTTTGATCATGACGACTCCAGGCTCTTGACAGTTTGATTTGACAGTCACATCTAACAACTTCTGAAACGAATTATACAGCTACAGAGGGACGTTGACCGCGTCTCTTCAAGCAATGTTCAAGACATAACGTCAGGTCACACGGCTTCAAGACATCTGCAGCACAAGTCAACAGACTGGTCTACACATTTGCCAGCCTCAATCCTGGATGCATAGGCTTGCGAATAATGCATCTCCTTGAAACCGAACACTACTCTGGTTGCAGCTGGCTTTGGTTTTTCTTATGGCAGATTCAAGTGAAGCCAAGGTTGTAGAACAGGCGACCAATTCCGAACTTCCCGGCAGTATGTATTTCAAGCAAAATATTCATTGAGGCTCTCAATTTTCGTCAAGTTTATAAACACTTCGAGCAGAGCATCGAAAACAGGAGGCATTGTTGTTCCGCTTTCGCCGTTCGCCCTTCTCCTGGAGAGCAGAATGTGAAAGGTTCGTTATTACCAAGCATTAGGTGGAGGAAAGGAATGGCCAATCACTCTTGGCATAGAACTGGAAAGGAAATGTTCCAATTTAGATTGAGAGGAGAAATGAATAGTAGAAGCTGGTATTCTGAGGGGGAAAGGGGTGATGATGTTATTTTGCCCTGTTGTTCTATAGTCATTTGGAGTATTTCTTCAACATGAATTTACGCAATTTGAATCTTGTGTGCTTTTTCATATATATTTTTTCTATTCAAGACAGTCCTCTGCTCCAAGCCTTTGTTTTTTCTAGGCCAGGAAAAGAATGACCTAGATACTACTATCAGAGCGAGGAGAAAAGAGATCCATTCTTCAGCTACAAGGAGGAAGAAAGAGGGGAGGAATGTTGGGGGAGAGCTAAGAAGAGAAAGAGTGAAACATCGAGAAAGATTGCGGTCTTCTGAAAAGCAGCCTAGAAACGATGCATCAAAAAGCCGGAGTTGGATTTGAAATTCTTGATCTTCGAGATCATCCACATTTTGGCGAGTATTCCGGCCAGGATGTATGCGAGAGAGACATGGAAAGGATATACGAACATGATAACTCACAAAGAATACGACAAATCATCACTGCAAGTTAACACCCTTGAACATGATGCTATCGTTTACAGACATTCGTATGACATGACCGAAAGATTAATTGGGCGTAACCAGAATCATGCGATCAAGTCATACTGCGGCCTCATCTGTGATGTCTTACATAAAGAAGTGTATGAATTCCGCATGGAGCGGATCGGAAATCAATGGGATTATAACAGCCCATACACCAATAGCCACATCTGCGTTGAATAGGGGTAAGTGTAATATACTTCGGATTCCGGGTCATTGCCGGTCATTGTCTTCGGGTGGGGGCCCACGTAATCCCGAATTAAAATAAGCTGTGATTACACACTACAACGTTGATCTGGTATATCCCAAGCCAATAACAGCCAGTACCAACACCACTAACAATTCCAGAAGGATGGATGGAATTATCTCCACAGACCCATCCTCCCAATACCATGGCTCTGGGCGCGTTGCAGATTCCGTGCATCGGTTAATAGTGGAAACATGCGGTGAGAATTCAATCCTTGTGTTTTGCACATTTTGATCCTCCGCAACGCAACCATCTTGACTCCGAGTGGAACGTGGAAGATTTCTATCATCAAATTAAAGTTAAATTCCTTACGAGACTCGGGGTTTGAATACCAGTCTGGTTGCTTTGCATGTGTGCCGAGATTATGGCGCTGGTCACCAGCAGTCACTACATCGGCCATGAGCGAGTCTAAGGGCCTCGGGATATATATATTTAGATTTCCAGAATCATGATCATGAGAAAATTGTGTTTCACTTAATAATTGTTACTCCAAGAGCAAAATGGTTGTTCAAGTGGCCTCTGAAACTTCAAAGTTCGATCAATCGCGCTTTCTCAACGATATTCAAATCCTCTCAGCTGCGATCAACGCACCATATTCCGAGTCCACAACCAAAAAGATTCTCTCTGTCTTCTCTGATTCATTTCATGACGGTGTTGTTCTATGGCGTGCAACAGACCGTCTGGGTGATGCTTTAAATTATCGCTTCTACTCCCGAAGACCCATAGATACTGTGGCCATTGCGTCATCCGCCGGCCTTTTGTCTCCGGATGTTGTCAGCACCCTTGGGAAATTGGTTACATCCTGGAGCTCGTTGTATGATGGCTTACCAGAAGAATCGTGTGATTTCGACGCAGAGAAGGGTTTGGTAAAAGCCTGGGTATACATGAGAGGCATGAGACCACTCAGTGATATCTTGAGTGCCAAGGGCGTGCCAGAGAGCTTGATCCAACATGAGGAGAGATTCAAGGCGCTGGAGTTGGAGAAGGTTCGTCATGTGGCGGTCGACTACCAAAAGGGAACTATGAATTTGTATTTTCGGGCCCAGGGACCTATTTCTCTACAACAAGCTACTTCTTTCAACGCATTAGCTGGTGCAGAACCACCGAGTCAAACTCAATTCTTTGAAATGCAAGAATTCCTTAATGCAGTGGGGTATACATTCGCGGTCACAATCAAGGTCGATAGCGGAGAAATCGAGAGGGTGGGCTATTATGCATTGAAATTGCCAGATAGAGCGGCGAAGAAGTGGCCGGCAATCAATGCGCAGTTGGAAAAGTTTGTGCAATTTGCACCTAGTTATGATAGGGAAGAGATGAATGCCGTGGCGTGGAGTTTTGGAGGGACAAAGAGGTATGTCAAGTTCGAGAGGAGCTATTGTGGGGAACTGGTGCCCCTGATTAAAGGATGGGGGACTACTTTGAGTTCATAATTAGTCTTTTTCTTATGTGGAACAGTTCTATTTTTATCACTTTAGAGTATTGACATATAAGATTTTGGTTCTAAATACACAATCATTATTGTGATCAACCATGTAACCGATTTCCAGTCACGCTAAGAGGTCAAATTGTAATCAACGCACAGACCACTGTATACTCTCGTGCATCTCGTATTGCAGGAATGAAATGGTGAACTTTCAATCCGAAACACTACGATCTCCCCTGCCAGCTTAGAGCTATTGATCACCCATTTCTCATTGTCCCTTCTTTCAATTGCTTCAGTTATTATCTTGCATCTTTCCAGCGGCAGCCAATTTATATCTCCTTGCCAAAACCATTTGCATTTGCGCAAATTTCTGGGCAGGCCCTGTTGCGTACTCGAAATTTTGTACGGAAGAGGCTATCTTGAAAATCGTCCTGCCTAATCTCGAATCCAGAATTCCAGGGTCTGATCGACCTTGACTTGACGCACAAGCAATGATAGATACCCAATACAATATGCCTAACACGTCCCCCCAAGTTTCGTCAACATCCGTTCTTTCTATGGCGCAAATCATTGCCGATGTGAGGTACTCGTCGCTTGAAGGAAGAGGGGTGCAGGTTTTTATAGCTTGAAATATTATAAGGGTAGCAAGTCTACAGCATTCGAAAATCCAGTACTGGGATGTCAGATTTGAAGGGCCCATTTTGACAGTACACGGCTGTACAAAGTACAAAGCTGCAGATAAGCGGCTTTGGTAATTGGCATTATCGACCGTTTGCTCGCATCCCTCAATGATAAGGTCGATCAAATCCTTAGCGATGTATAGAACCTGGATCAGGGAGTCGTCGAATCCTTTCAACTGTCTGACAGACTCGAATGAACCGGATGGACAATATAACGGGGACGCAAATCGCCGACATTGAGGTTCATTCTCTTTCAATTGAATCAAAGAATTGCTGAAGCTCAGAGGAAGCTCCTCGGCCCTGATAGCCTTCACAATAATGTGACGCCTTATGTCTGCATTAATCACAAAGTTGGTATTCGCATTAGGGTAGGTGGCTTACATTACTAGGTACTTTCGGATTGTTTGTCCAAAAGGATAAGCTCCAAAGCTCTCCAGTCCTCGTCTCTTGACCAACAATTCTACGCCAGTCATATGTGCCTCAACTTCCTCTGCATTGCGTTCAATTGCCTAAAATATCATCATTAGCCGCCCGATACTCCATCCCCGATGCTCCATCCCCGATACTCCTCACCTACCCAAATACCTGTTGAGAAATAGGCTATTGACGCTATTGTAGCATTGGACCATAATGTCCCTTCTTGAGCTAGTTTCTGCCCAATTTGTGCAATGGCTGCATCTCTCAATCCTGTAGCCAGTTCATCGTTTATCGTCCCTCGAACCGAGCATGAATAGGCATATATCATATAAATGATGCTTGTCGATAAGGCTTGTCCGGCAGCTTTTGGAAAATCAACTAATTTCTCGGGCCCTGGCGAACAAAACATCAAAGCTAAACCAATTTTTAGCTCTCAGCAAAACCATCATTATCATAGGCATCACAATCGCCTCGGGAATCCATGACGCGACGCACCAACTTGTTTAGTTGTACTCACCTCTCGGGAGTATTTGGAAATTATATCAGGTGGCAGATGGGGTACGGAGCTTGAAGGGTCGGGTTGAGCGGGCGCAAAAGTGAATAATGATGGTAGTCCCACTTGTGTGACTTCAAGTGAAGTCTCATGGTCGCATCCGTATTGGTGATTCTTGGTACCAGTTTCAGGAATTGGATCAAGCGTATTACATGGGAATGATTTTACGTGCGATGAGCTTGATGGACTATGACTAGACTTCGAAACGTCACAGACGCGTTCAACTGGCATAAGTTTCTGCGTGGCGATCTTTCGTTTAGCTTTCTCCTGTCGCTGCTTACTCCGAAAGGCAGACATCGCATGCGATCGTATCAAGCTTTGGGTTGTTTGATCCTTTGCCCGACCAGAGACGAATTGTATAGCAAGAGGTCCCTCTTCCGAGATTGAATCTTGCACAAACATGTTGGACAATTCCGGTATAACTTTCATATTATCAAGGTAATTTTTGGCGTATCGATCATGACTTTTGAAATCTTTTGAGTCGAAACTCTCGCTGCCAATAGCTCTGCAGTTCTAGGTCCAACGTGAGTTGCGATACGTTCTGAGGGATTTGGGGCAGTATTTCAGCTCGAAATTACACCATCGACATCGTGATGAAAACAAAGATCAAGTATGGGATTGTTATGAGGAAGTGTGGAAGTTGCAGTCCCTTTCCATATGAGCAGCTAAACGTTGTTCCTTGTTCATCCCTCTTTTCTTAAGATTAGGCAATTTTAGTCTCATCTCAAATGCCAGTGTATTGATGGGGTATCATTCACTCTCGCTGAGAGCATAAGATTGGGGGCTGTTGGACTTCAAGTTTTTTTCCTTCCATAATCAACGATTGACGGGTAGCTCGGATTCCTACCAGCGATTGACGTTTTCATTCTTTGCACACTGCTATCTCTAACATGATGATGATGTCAGTTGGGAGCCACTCCTCTATCCTTTTTGATGATTATACACTGGAGATTGCAACCTTGTTCAAATTTATGCTAAGACTGACAGTCAATAACGTAGGATGCGCCAACCTCTAGACTTGTTCTCCCTACATCGGTAATTTGTTCTGCCAGTTGATTTCAATGTCTCTTGAGCAACATTTGAAACCCGTCGAACACATTCGCTGCATCTGTCTATAAAAATTAGCGTGCTTTGACGTCATGTGCGTTGCATTTGATTTCAAGATCCTTATGTCGCCAAAGATAGAGATTACAGCACCGCTTCAATCAATCGGCAGATGCGGAGGATTTAGCGGTTCCTAGCGAGAAGGATCGCACCCCTGAAAATCCTGCAGACGCTATATTTAGCGATGTATTACCATCCGAACTATCGATTTTCAAGATGACCTGGGAATTTTGAATCCAATTTTTTGGGCTGTCGTTGTTAGTCAACTTCAGTCAGATGAGAACATTAAATGCTAGATCTGAGCATCTCCTTGGTAGAAACCAATTTTGGACGCACCCTATGACGTTGCTGCTGGATTTCATGGATAGACTGATCTTCGTGATTGCGGATTGGACGCATTTTGCCAGGTGATTTTTCTTATATCCAGTCTTAGGGGGATCCATTCTGATCGATTTGCGCGGGTATCAATATTCGAGCATTCCAGCAATCATGCCAACTCTCCTAGCTACATACACTTTGTTTCGCACTTGTCTATAGTATAATCATACTCAGTCTCAGATAACCATCGCATGTCATATCGTTACCTACCGATTGGGCCAAGACCACAGATTGTTATTCAATTAAAGATCGGACATAAATAACGTACGCACAAATGCCTAGATACTATTCTATCTATAGATCCGATCTTACTTGGGGTATTGTTAAACCTGCCACTATCATAGTAATGTACGAGAGACCCCGCAACAAAAAAAAAGAGATATATAAGAAAATAAGGATCGTGATCAGTTCAAACCTCGATAATCAACCTATCTTCACTCCTCAATTCTCTCCACTTATTCGAAGCCTCGACGATTTCATGGCATCCCTTCAACAAGAAGCCCCACTTCCTCGCAAACCCCTCTGTGACTTCCCATCCACTTGCATGCCACGGATCATTCCAGACCAGCATCCCCTTCTCATCCAAATCATTACAATCTTCAAATATACCTCCACACAGATCCCTACACAAATCATCTTCATCGATTTCATGGAAAGTAAGCATGGCATTGTTTCTCATTTTCGGACACGGAAGTACATCTATCCATTGGGGATGAGGAGTGCTGAGCTGTAATGGGGTCGGAGAGAGAGAGGGTGGAATAGTGGAAGGGGCTGGGAACATGGGGGCGCTGAGCATGCTGCGGCACTCAGTGGCAGTGGTGTGAGGTAGGTTTAGAATGGTCGAGTTTGTCATGCAAGCGCGGAGAACGTTGTATTGAATAAGCGTAAGAAGGTGATCTAGAGGCAGCGGAAATGTTAAACCTGGTACCTCTGAAGCTTGATTTATGTTTGCGAGCTGCTGATCTAGAGGCTTTGCTGTGGGAAGGGAGTTCTGAGTTGAACTATTGGGCTGGGGCTGTGGCTTCCATATAACGAATCGGTCTTTGGGAGTGGATCTTGCTTCAAGTGCCTTCCGTCTTCCTGCGGCCAAGTCAGCTACGTTACTGCCGAATCCAAATGTCCAAAATTCTGAGAGACTCTTTAAAATAGGGATAAGAAACAGCTCGTTGGAGAATCGCTATGGTATCTGCAGTGGGTGAAGGCCAACTAGACTTCTTTTCTAATAAATTTGAAACATCACTAGAAGTAGAAGATGAACAGGGAGGAATGATCCGAAACTTCTGCAATTTACATACTGAAAGCCCTGATATTCAAACGGTTTTGTCGCTTTCTCCTTTCCTTTGCATTTGTTGTACCCGTCCAATCATCCTCGTCCTTTTTAGCCTTTGAGTAGCAATCAGCATTTTTGAAATCCAGGTGGTGATAAAAAGGATTAATATCTACCTCTGCCAGTTGGTTCATTGGCTCTACTCTAAAAGAAAGATTCTGCATGATATTCATGGTTTTGTTTGATGCAATTTTCAAGCAATTGAAGACTAAGCAGAAGATAAGCAGTTGGGGCAATAAGAGTGAATTTCTGCAATCTGCTTACAGTTCTTGAATCAAAAGAGCGAACTTTTATATTAACACTTCCACCATCTTTGAAGAAGATTGAATGTCGTCTCGGGTGAAGGAGGAAGTATCGTCCCGAGGGGGGCCGGCGGGTAGATAGCAAGCTCTTGATTGGTTGATGCATCTTGCTTACACAAATTCACCCAAATACAGTTTAGCCTTCATCCACACGAGCCACCAAGCGAGCCACTGCATTTCATGGATCTCATCCTTTGAGAACGCTTCGGAAACGATATGTTCGTCTAGATTCTGATATAACAGCTCTTCTTCTCATCAACGTGACCCAGTGGCACCCATGTGTGAGCCAGAGTTGGCCACTTAGTTATTGTCTACTAGTATTGTTTGGGAAACTGGCTTGTAAGCTGATGGCAGTAGCGATGCCATGCTCAGGACTCCCTAGTTGAGGTTCAAGTGTATAAGTATCGATCACTTTCTCAAATAAAGAATCACTAATACTTCACTTGGTTCAATTGCAGTCGTCTATCTGTACAGCAATCTTTGAGCATTTCGTGCAAGTTGCCCCAAGAACTTATTTCAGTCAATTCCAAGTCCTCATCCCCTTTATTTTTACTTTTATTGTTACTATTACCACTTTTACCTGCTTCATCTTTTGGTCAAGTTGCCGGTATGGGCGGCCTTCAAGATATTAATTTTAGGCCGGAGAGGGATATACCCACTTTGACGGACAAAGTTATCTTGGTCACTGGAGGTGAGGACCCTAAAAGCTACCCTAGTCGTGATTGTTCACAAAAGCTAATGGTATCAAAGGCACAGCCGGACTTGGAAGCAATACAGTCAGAGTCCTTGCGAAACACAACCCATCACACATTTACTTCACGGGACGTAATAATAACGCGGCGTCAGCTCTCATAGAATCTATCAAGAAGGATGTCCCATCAGCGGGCCTGACCTTTCTTCCTATCGATCTGTCTTCACTCTCATCAGTCGCGGCCGGTATCAAGACGTTCAAGCATGATCGTCTTGATATCTTCATGGGCAACGCAGGTATCATGGCCGTGCCTGCTGCTCTGAGCAAAGACGGATACGAAATCCAGTTCGCAACAAATCATCTCGGCAATGCTGCCGTTCTCCATCATTTACTACCAATCATGCTGAAGACTGCTGAGCTCCCCTCCTCCGACGTGCGAGTTGTCTTGAATACTTCCTTGGGGTGGAAATTTCATCCGAGTCAAGGCATTGTCTTCGATAAATTGAGAACAACCCAAGAGGATTTGACCTTTGGGACGTGGAGCCGCTACGGACAAAGCAAGGTAGCCAACATACTGTATGCAGCAGAGCTTGCTCGTCGTTATCCACAGATAACGTCTGTAGCGGTCCATCCAGGAGTCATCAACACGGGGCTAGTCTCAAACTTATCTTTTTGGCATAAATGGTTTGTCTATATAACTAGTGTAAGCCAAACAATAACGGTTGAGCAAGGCATTATGAATCAGACGTGGGCTGCCGCGGGAGCAAAAAAGAAAGAGCTGGCCAATGGCGCATATTACATGCCGGTGGGTGTTGAGAGCAATTCAACGTTGGACACAACGGCCGAGGATTCAAATTTGGCAAAGCAATTGTGGGAATGGACTGAAAGAGCTTTGGGGAATTGACTGGAAATTTCTTTGGCATAAAGCTTCATTTTAGAAATTTAGGAATCACATTAAGTGTTGATTTTTACCTATGATGGCGCATATACCATTTCTTCTATTCCTTAAGTCGAGAGGTCTTTATTCATCTATTCGCTATAGTAATATACAGTAAAGGTATCTTCCATGTACCCTTCCATTTCGTAGGCCATCTCCCACTTAATCATTTAAATATCCATCCGTTCGTCCAAAAACGTGATTCCTCCTTTCAAACCATGCACTCACTCATCCACTCATGGAAATTTTTGTTTTGTACGCCCCTCATATCCGTATATCTGTACATTGTATTCCATTCGCCGTGGAACTGTGCTAAAGATTTTTGTGCCCCATTATAGTTTCGTGGCATCCGTCTCGTCACTCGTCAACACATTTTCGCCAAACTACCAATTCCTTAAGTCCTCCAAATCATCATCAGCTATCCATTTTACTTCTTGTGTCTATCAGCCTGTGCCTTTTCGTAGTTGGAAATGAGCTCTTTTCTAGATGATGTATTAGCATGAGGTGTATTAAAATAACAGCGAGAATACAAGAAACCACTTACTGTAACTGTCCTGGCGCAGGAGCGTAATGACTGAATTCCATACCAAACTCTCCCTTTCCTTGCGTAGCCGCTCTCAATTGCGAACTAAATCCGAACATGGCATTCAAACTACAATCCGCAATAAGAGTGAAATCTTCTGGTCCGATCTCCGTATCACTGATGATAGCGTTTCTCTTATTCAACAAACCAACAATGTTCCCCTGGAACTCATTGGGTGCTGTAATGGTGGTCTTCATGAGAGGCTCAAGAACTTGTGGTTTTCCTTCTTTGAAAGCTTTTCGGAAAGCTTGTTGAGTGGCATTCTTGAAAGCCATTTCAGAAGAATCTGTCATGTGGGTTGCACCATCGTTAACAACCATATGGGTACCGAGAACGGGGTGACCGAGAAGGGGTCCCTTTTCACAAGAGGCAAGGAATCCCTTTTCGCAAGCGAACAAGAACTTGTCAGAAATAGAACCTCCGGTGACTTCTTCCTTGAAAGTTGATGGAGCATAACCATTTGGACCAGGCTCAATAGGTTCCAAGAAACCAACGACACGAGCGTAATCACCGGCACCTCCAGTTTGTTTCTTGAGAGTGTGATCGAATGCCACATGTTCAGTGATGGTCTCTCTGTAAGCGACTTGAGGTTTACCGGTTTCAACTTCGACCTTGTACTCTCTTCGCATTCTCTCCACGTAAATATCAAGATGCAATTCTCCCATACCAGAGATAATGGTTTCCTGACTTTCGGCATCAACATGTACACGGAATGTTGGATCCTCACGTTGGAATCTGTTCATAGCCTTACTGAAGTTGGATCCGTCTTTGGTTGTCTTTGGTTTGATAGACAAGGAAATGACGGGATCTGGTACGAACATAGAAGACATAGAGTATGGTAAACCACCGTCGGTAAATGTGTCTCCAGAAGCGCAATCAACTCCGAACACAGCACAAATTTCTCCGGCTCCAATTTCAGGAACTTCCTCCATCTCATTGGAATGCATGCGCACAATTCTAGGGATCTTGACTCTCTTATCGGTTCTAGCATTGAACACGTTCATGCCCTTTCTCAAGGATCCTTGGTAAACTCGAATATAGGTCAATTGACCATAATTACTTTCTTCAAGTTTAAAGGCCAAGCCAACGAATGGTAGCTCATTATAAGAAACAAGCTTCACAGGGGCTTCAGCTCTTCGCTTGTCAAGCGCCAAATTCTCAACCTCAGCAGGATTTGGTAAGTAATCGCAGACTGCATCAAGCATGGGCTGCACTGACTTGTCAGCTAAAGCACTTCCCATCAAGACAGGAGTGAATTTCAAGTTGATGGTTGCCCGTCTGATAGCAGCCTTCATTTGCTCGATAGATGGAGTTTTCTCATCCAAGAAAATCTCGGCAATCTCGTCATCGACATCGGCCAATGTTTCGATCAATAGAGCTCTCTTCTCTTCGCACAATTTCTTGAGTTCCTCTGGGATTTCATCAGTCTCTCTGATGATTTCTCCTTTGGGCCCATCGTTGTAGATAGCCTTCATCCTGATCAAATCAACAACACCGTTGAAGCTGTCTTCTGAACCAATGGGGACTTGAAGTGCTGCCGCTGGGATTCGTAATTTTTGATTGATCTGCTCGACGGCCTTGAAAGGATTGGCACCCATTCTGTCCATCTTGTTAATAAAACTGATACGAGGAACATTGTATCTTCGCATTTGTCTGTCCACAGTAATCGTTTGACTTTGAACTCCACTGACAGCGCAAAGAATCATGACAGCTCCATCCAGTACTCGCAAAGCTCTCTCGACCTCAATTGTGAAATCAATATGTCCAGGGGTATCGATCAAATTTATATGATATTTCTCCTCCTTCCCATTCTCAACCTTCAACCAGTCGCAGAATGTAGCAGCGGATTGAATTGTAATACCTTTCTCCCTCTCCAATTCCATGGAATCCATCTTTGCGCCTACTGCATCCTTTCCTCGGACTTCATGAATAGCATTGATTCTTCCAGTGTAAAAGAGAACTCGCTCTGTGGCGGTCGTTTTGCCACTGTCGATGTGTGCTGCGATACCAATGTTTCTGACCCTCCTCAATCGATCCCTCTCTGCGGCATTTAGATTGTCGACAATGGCTTCTTGGGTGAGGGCTGATGGATCTGCGGCAGCCTTTTCTAACACTGCTTGAGCAACACCAGCTCTAATAATTGGCGATTGAGAGAAATGTCTCTTTCCTCCCAATCTGGCACCGAGAATCGCATTTCTTGCTCCGAGCCCTTGCAAAGGTGAGTTCAGGCACAAAAATCTTGCTCTTGGGACACTCCCACGTAGCACTCCAGCGCAAGCTTCCGTTGAAGCCACAGCGCGGGCTACTCTATGCATACTCATGGTTGCTACTGGATTGTGGTATCATTCATCCATTCGATAACATGCGTAACTTTTTTTTATCGATTAAATATATCGGAGTAAGTTTAGCCGAGCCCGCTCACAATCATTTGATGATGAACTTGCTTTTTGAAAGCTATTGTAGACTTTTATTAGACACACTAAAATTCTACATTGCTTAACGTATGCAAAACTAGTACTCCTTGAAAGACGATCTAAAATCATGAACATCTGCTTATCATTTCATTGGGGGTTTTCTGAAGGAAGTGATATTCTGAGTCGCTTACATAATACCTTTCTATATTGAAAGCATGACAGCGCGTCAAACAATTATGCCTTTCGCGTTTCTTACAATCGCCACGAGTCGACCATGGACATCGAGATATGGCAGCGGAAACAACTCCAGAAAAGGACGAGAATGAGCATAAGTCTCTCAAATATTCTCTACTAGGCCCGTCTCTCACAAAATCTGGACAAGATTCTGTAGACCAGTCAA